CTTTAGGGCAGGGACTGGCAGACTCTTCCTATTAAAAGCCAGATATTAACTATTTTAGGTTTTACAGGCCATACAGTCTTTGAAATAACTACACAATTATGCTGTGTCAGATGAAGGCAGTTACAGACAATACATAAACACATGAATATTGCTGTGTTCCAATAAAACTTTATTTGTGGACACTGAAATTTGAACTTTATATCACTTTCAAGTGTCATGAATATTACTCTTATTTTGAAATTCCCCAAGTATTTAAAAATACAAAAACCATTCTTAAATTGTATGTCATACAGAAATAGGCATTGGGCAAGATTTGGCCTGTGGGCTGTATGCAGCATAACTCCTGGGCTTTTGGCAGTACTATTTCTTCAAGGGCTAGATATCCTTAACTGAAGCAGCAGCCGAAGGAAAACTCTGTAAAGATGGTTCTGTTCATAACGTTTTCCCATATGACACCTAAAAAGTTTAGGGATCATCGATATGTCCTTGATTTTCCATTGCACATCTGAAAGGTTATTTGCCATTATTAGCTGGTCCATTGAAAATGATTTTAACATTTGACAGTGACTTTTTGACATTTCATCAAGTAAAAGTATATATAAAATAATGTATAGGGGTTAGAAGATGAAATCTGAATGAAAGAAGCAGGGGTTGTGTTCCCAGTTTAGGGATTCAGTTCTTTGCTTAGATATAAATAACTTGACCACTTCAGATCTCATTTACCAGGTGTTGCTACTGAACAGTTATATTGTGTTAAAGGACATGAAGGGGAAAATTGTGCTTGTATCTTCTAGAGTAGCCACATTTTCAGGAAAAAAAAAGTGTTGTTTTTTTTTTTTTTAATGTCATGACATACAACAGAAAAGATAAATAATTCTGAAGAGGAATCTAGTGGTTAATTTGTTCCAAATACTTTGGAGTGAAGAAAATCTAAACCTGAGTGAGATCATGCAAACTATAGCACAAAATACACAGATGTAAGATTTCAAGGTTTTCCTATGTGCCTACTATTACCAGGAGAGGTTTGGTTTTAGGGGTCTGTAAAAATGTTTTCTTCCTTTAAGTATAATGCTCTGAGCCAAGACATCATCAGTTCCAGGCTCAGTCAGTTCCAGTTGAAAGTGTGAATGTTCAGCAAAAGGATATTTTGAAAGGAGACTGAAAATCTACTGTGCCAGATACCTGAAATGTTGTTAGGGTATTCGGTGGAAAATTTCATTTCCACATTATAAATAACTGTAGGATATTTTAAGGGATCCAAGACTAGTAACTTCCAAGAGCTGCTTATGTTAGTTCCACTGAAATGTGAAGTGGAGGGAGGATGCCCAAAGAAGCCTTTAAAACTGAATTACCAGGTATGATTAATTAAAATAAATAATTCACCATTGATTAAGTTACCCTTAAAATCCCCAGCCAAGGTACTCCCATTAAGGCCTGCATATTTTGCTATCCACTAAGTAAAACAAAGAAAGGGAAAAGAAGTGATTGAGAAAGAAAGAGGTAAAACCTCCTAGATGATTACTGAAATTATAAATGCCCTCGAATATCTCATTCAAAAAAGACTCTAGTCACCTGTATTTGAAATATTGACTGATACTTAGCATCTTCAAATTTTCCGAGGGTTCTGTGTTTTGTGGAGTTCCTAGGATGATAAGGACAACCCCAGGCGTTCCGGCATTTAACAATCTACTTGGGTAGTTATTGAATTTCTATTTTCCTTTGACCACAGAAATAATTCACTTCCTGTAACTTCTCCCCTCCTTTGCAGACGCCACACCTTTAAAAACAAAACAGAACAAGTTAGAGATCTTTGTTAGACAGTGTATACAGTGTGCCCAAAACAAAGGGCCCGACTGAAAGGAAAAAAAAAATCCATGTGTGTGAGTTGTGTATGAGTATCTGTGTATTTAAGAGTATCAATATGTGGATGTTCGAGAGTGTGTGTTTGAGTGCTTGTGAGTGGGTGCAAGGTAGGAGAGAAACGGATGCCGTCTCATCTTTACCATTGTTTTTGACGGGTAAGCCTGGCTTCCCTTCACAGGTCGGCAGCCTGTGGCTGGGGAAGACAGTCTGCCCTGGTGCGCTCAGGCGGCGCACCGGTGCCCGGGGTTAGAGCTCTCCCCTGCGACGGAAAAAGATAATTAAAAATCGCACGCGCCGCAGACAACTTAGCTTCTCGCTGAGCATCAAGTCCGTCTGGATCAGTGTGTTCTCACACCCCTGCGGCGGCCAGGCCGGGAGGCCTGTAGTCAGGGAGCGAGGAGTAGGTTGGGGATGGGGGTGTCATAGTGGGTGGTGCAGAATGTTTCTCCAAGCCAACAAGGGTGGCAGGCTGCCGTGCGAAGGCCGAGGAGGCTAGAGAGTCTAGGCGAAGAAGCTCGCGCCTGTGGGGAGATTTGGGGATGAAGCGGAAACGTGGAGGAAAAAGTGGGAAAGGGAAAGACGGATGAGGGAGTTTTGGAGTTGTGAGCGGAGAAAGGGAATGTAAAAATAAATCCCCAAAGAGGAAGGACAGAGCAGTGGCCCCCCGAATCCCATCCTTATCCCCGCGAGGGTGCGCGCCTAGCCACCCTCTTCCCTTCCCTCGCTCCCCTATCCCCAGTGCATAACTTTATGCGGCCGGGGCGGGGGGCGTAATCCTGGTTTCTCACTAACTACAAGTTCATCTTGCGCTTGAGATGGGCTTCAGAATCCGTGACTGGCACCAGGTCCCTTTTTCTGTGCCCTGGCCCCACCCCCACCCCCGAAGTTCTTCCAGTCGCGTTCAGAGGCGCAGACCCCAGCGCCTGCTCAACGAGTGGACTCAGTGCTCTAACAACCGAGAGGGAGGACGGGTCGTGGCAGGTCATTGCTAGGGTAACAGTAGCGTTTGCGCTGAGCAATAAAAACTCCAATTAATGGGTACGCCAATTGTTTTAAATGAGATAGGGGGGGATCAGTGGTGACTCAACTATCTTCCCTCCTTAGTACGACGACGAGGTGGAGGCATTCTAGCTTTTCAGTTATTTATAAAATCACTTATTACTGTGTCAGCTACCCTATTAGGAATCTTTGAAACTTTGACAACTGATGGTTCTTTTTGCAAACACGTTTTCAAGCTTTGAAAAGTTTAAAGGAGTTTGACAGTAAGCAAGGAACGTAGCAGTACACAACGCGGAGGGAACCGGCCCGGTGCCCCCTTCGTAGGGGTGCAGTAGCCTCAAGCGGATTTCCCGGCTTCTGCGGGCGCCGCACATTGTTTTGTTTTGAAGGCTCGGAGTTTGAGGCTGGTCGGAGACACCCACGTGCTTCTGACTCTCATCAGCGTAATGATCGCCTCAGCCAGAGTCGTGTCTATATAAACCACAAAAACCTAATCATTAGAAATCCCAGCCTCCAAAAACCACATTTTAGGTAAAACTGCCGCTTTTTTTCCGCGCTCCTTCATCCTCTCGACCACAACTTTTTGGGGGATCCAAAATCGCTTTTTTAACCCACATTGGGAAATAAATACATAAATAAATAGCCATTGAAGCATTTTGAACATTTTATTTTGTATTTTTACTTTTTTCCCCGGGAATGGTGGGAAAGTTAAGACATTAGACTTAGTTTTAGATGCAGAATAGACTTAATAAAAGATTGAAGTTGATGGAAAATTGCTGAAGTTTCTCCCCAGCAAGGGTTTTTGCAACTTATTTTAATCACCAAGATGACAGTTTTCCAGTCCTTAAAAAAAAAACTCATCCTTGTTCTCTAGGAACAACAAATTTGAGTATAGAAGAAAAAACCTGTCCGGTCCCCTATTTGAGTTTCTAAAGACTATTTTGACGCGTGACCCTCTCCCCATTTTTCGTATCACTTAAGACAAAAAAACACCCAAACTCTGCAAAATCTCCCTCCCCCCCCCAGGGAGACGCAACGGCAGAGGTGGGGGGGGTGGAGGGTGGAGTGGGGGAAGGGTGAAGAGGGCCGAGAAGTCAGCACAGACGCTCAAGAATTTTCCTTCCTCCTCTCCTGAAGTTACAACGAAAAATACCGACAGCCAGATCAGCCCGCGGCTCCCTGGAGTCTCTGCTTCGACCTCGTCGGACCAAGAGGGGTTTCCTTGCCCTGGGGGGTAGGCGGGGAGAAGCAAGAGGACGAGACCAGGCTAGATCCCCTCAGACCAAGGCCGCCTCTCTCGGCTTCGGAAGCTGCGCGCGGCGTCCAGGGGGCTCCTTCTCGCGGCCGGCGGGCGGCGGCAGCGGCTGCGATTCGAATGCTCAAGATCCGTTGCCCCGAAATCTGCTGCCTGAGACTTACCTCCTGGCACCTCGAAGCGCGAGGGTCAGGGGAGCTTTGCAAATAGCAGGAGGGAGTGGATGCAAGGAGGTGGCGGTGAGAGGGGGAGAAGAGGAGAAGGGAAAGGAAGGAGCGGACCCGGGGAGCCGGTCTGGCAGCCGCCGCGGGAGGAATCTGAGCGCGCAGCCAGCGCGGGGGGAGCGGCGGCCGCGCGGAGGAGGCGGCGGTAGCAGCCCCAGCCGGCGGGCGGCGGCGCGGACGCCTGCAACTGGGTAGCTGCGCGCGGGCGGCGCGGCGGTGGCTGGCTGCGCGCTGCTATGCCGGCCCCGGGGCTGGACTGAACGCACTCGCTTCCACCGCCGGACTCGAACTGGGAGGGGGCGCCAGCGCACCCAGGACGCGGTGCCCCAAGGGACCCCACTCTAAGCTGCAAACTGAAGCCACCCCCCTCCCGCCTCCCCGGCCAAACACATCCCCGCACCCGTTCGCAGCTGCCACCCCGAGTGTTCCAAAGGCTCCGGCAAAGATCTGCGCCTCCGGGTCTCCCCACCCGCCAACCCGACCTCTCCGCATCGCCACCGCTGCCCCCCGTCAGACTCTACCTGGCAGTCGGCTTCATCGAACTTGATTTCTCACCTCCTCAGTCCCATCACCTCCATCCCCTCTCCCCCGTCTCGCCTCCCCCCCCCCCCCCCACCAGTTTCCTCCTCCTCGCCCCTCATTTCCACCCTCCTCCCCCTCCCCCGGCCACTTCGCTAACTTGTGGCTGTTGTGATGCGTATTCCCGTAGATCCGAGCACCAGCCGGCGCTTCAGCCCCCCCTCCAGCAGCCTGCAGCCCGGCAAGATGAGCGACGTGAGCCCGGTGGTGGCTGCGCAGCAGCAGCAGCAGCAGCAGCAGCAACAGCAGCAGCAACAGCAGCAGCAGCAGCAGCAGGAGGCGGCGGCGGCGGCGGCGGCAGCAGCAGCAGCAGCGGCCGCGGTGCCCCGGTTGCGGCCGCCACACGACAACCGCACCATGGTGGAGATCATAGCTGACCACCCGGCCGAACTAGTCCGCACTGACAGCCCCAACTTCCTGTGCTCCGTGCTGCCCTCGCACTGGCGTTGCAACAAGACCTTGCCCGTGGCCTTCAAGGTAAGAAGCTGCGGCCACCCCCCGCCCCCGGCCGGGCGCCGCGGGACCTGCCCGCCGGCGTCTCCTTGACCGCGGGGGCCGGGGCCGGACGACGTCCAAAGCCTCGGGTTTTCTTTGGAGGATCTGACCCGAGGGACCCACGGATGGCCCTCTTTCTTCGGATTTTCCCCGCTCAGATCCCTCCTCCTCCCACCTGTGCCCGCAGCCACCGCGCCAGTTCTTGTCCCCTCTGTCCGTTCATCACCCCTTAAGCCTCCCGGCCAAAGTTCTAACCCACTCCTCGGAGCTGTCCCTCCTCCCCCCAGAGCCTCCAGGTGTCCACTCTTTGCATCGCCACCCCGCCCACCTCCCCGTGGGTAAGGATCCCCGGCATTTTCCCCCCCTGACTCCCGCGTCCTCCTCACGGGGCTTGCTGGCCGGTCCGGCACTGCGGGCCGCCCGCGCGGGCCCTCCCCGGGATTCCTGGCGCCCCTGCCCACTCCCCTCCCGGCCGAGCGCCCCTCTGCTCGTCTCGGCGCCCCCAGCTCTGACCCGCTTGAGCCTCAGCGGCCCCGGCCTATCCCGGGTTCGGAGACCGGTGTTCTTGGGGTGACGGAGCCAGGAGTTCGCGCCCGGGGCGGGGCGCCTGGTGCGGCGCGTGGGCCGCATGACCGATGCCCAAGAGGGTCGCACGCAAACCTCGGAACTCGGGGAACATGTGAGGGGAGCAGAAAGGACGGGGGTGTTTGCTCGGCTCCCAGGCTCCCAGACTCGCGCCAGTTCCCGTTACCGGGAGGAAGGCGGGGCCGCCGGGGTCGTCGCGCGCCCGGAGACAGGGGAGCACGGGAATCGCGGGCGCGGACCCTGGAGTGCGGGAGGCGCGGGCCAGCTGATGGGGGCGGGGGCTCCTGCCGCTTCTTCCCGCCGGGACTGAGCTTTCCGCCTCTCCCAGCCTTGCGGGGACGAGGGAAATCTGTGAAATGCCTTCGGTTCGCCAGCCTTGAAATCTGAGGTGAAATTTTGCAGATCTGTCTTATTATTACTTCTGAATGACTTGGTTCCCAAAGGTCCCTCCCGTCTCCGTAAGGTCGTGGGAGACTCGGGCCGGCGGCTTGGGTGCCGCGGGAGTGACTTCGGGATTTGGGAGCGTCCTCCGCGGCCTCCTCCGCCCGCCGGGCCCGTTAGTTTAAGGGCGGGTGTCCGCAGCGGGATTCCCCGGTAGCGGCTCGGCAGGTTGAGGGTGCAGGGTCCCCGGCCCCTGGCATAGCCCTGTGCGCGTCCGCAATGCGCCCCGGGTTGCTTCGGCAGCTCTTGCCGGCGGAAACGCGGAAATCCTCAGGGCCGAGGTGGGTGGAAGGGAAGCGGGTTCCCGGGGAGTCCTCACTTGGGGGACTAGACGCCGGGATGGAGGGGGCAGCGAACCAGACAGGCAGGAGAGACTCAGAAAGCTGCTTCCGCCCTGTCTAGCTTAGGACCCCTGGGTCCTGGGATCTATGGAGAGCTGGGTAGCAAGGCAATAGGGTATGGGGGAAAAATGAGGAATCCTGCCAAGTTCTCCACTGTGGCCCTGGGGCCAAACTCCGGTGAACCACTGGCAGTTCCCAGTAGTTGATCCTTCATCCCTACCAGCCTCCCCCCCCCCGCCCCCCCGGCCCCCAGGCTTCAATTCAGATTCCACGCGTAGGTGGGGTGGAAAGAAAGAGGAGTCCAGGTCAATTAGAGCTGGTTATCTCTCTAGGTCTTATATCAGAACAGAAATCAGAATAAATTGTTATGGAAAGGGGATGATGCATTCTGGGGCAAGTTTCATTTTGCACTTGGCTTAAGAAATGTATCTTTTGTTTTTAACCGTCTCGTTTCTCCTTTTATAAACCACTCATTTTGTAGGTTATTTTCTTCTTTAAATATGAAAAGCTCAGAATATTGTAGAAACTTAAATTTCTGTACAAGAGGTGTCTTCTACAGTGTTCATCGTCCAAGGGCCCAGAATTTTCTAATTAGCTTTATTGTGAGGGTAGACGTTTATTTCCACCCCACCCCCAAATCCCAAACACAAACAAAAAACCTGGATGAAAACAGCAAATACAAATACGTAGCTATTTTGTTTATACAATGCCACAAGTCAGGATATGTGAAAATTTAAGGAAAAGTGCCTACATTTTTAAAGATATCATTTAGACGTTTAATGGTCTGGATTCTGTTCTGCTAAACACGTTTAAGGTATAACTGTTTTGAACTATTCTTTTACATTTATGGTGCTGAACTGATTTTAAGCATTAGTATTTTAGATAGCAAGGATGTTTTTGGCACACAGATAGAATGCAATTTAGTTTGACTTATTATCAGATTTTGGGTGTCTTCAGGTTTTTGCACCACCACCCTTTTAAAATTATTTTGAAAAGAAATGGCTTCCTTTGCTATTAACCATATTTATTGTCAGTTACATAGTGATTTTACTTGTAACTAGCAAATGAAGGCATAGCTAACACATGTCCATGCTAAAGTAAATATTTAATTCATGGTAATTGAAAAAGAAATTGAATTAACCTAAATTGTGAACTCTCTGTTTTCCCACCCCCATACCTGTGTTAAACAAAATGCAAATAGCAGGTGATAGCTGAGATCCTTTTAAGACAGAAGTTTTGTCTCTGCTGAAAAAGATGTGTAGATATTTGGAATATCCAGGTATACCCAGCAATTTATGTTTTCATCTGAATGTTAGTAACAACAAACTCTCTTTACCTTTCTTTTGAGATAAGAGCTTGAGAGCAGTAAGGCTTTCTACACTTGCAACAAAATCAAATAAATCTATAATGAAGAAATAACATGAAGAGGTCTCAGTTTTAAAAGTGGTGAGAACAATTTGGCTATGATAGTTAGAGCCATGTACAAAGTAAATTATAGTGTTACTGGGTAGATACAGACAGGTACATTTATTTTAAAAACACAGAACTAAATTGTTGAGAAATCTGATATTCAAATCAATACAATATTTATTGAGCCTGTATTTTAATGTCTGTGACACTGAGCTTGTCACTGTAGAGAATCAAATGGATTTAATGGACTGTGTTTTGATAAAGTAGTGCTTCAAAATCATAGTGACAATTGTATTAAGTTGTAAGTAATGTGTTAGTGTTGTTCATCTGATCTTGTTTGGGGATTATACGAGAATACTTAATTTGTTAATACTTGGTTCTTAAAAATGCAGAAACACCCAGTATAGTTTAAAATACGTAAAGTTGTTTATTAGCATTGTATTTTTAACAAAGTTCTGCAGTTTTGAAATGTTCAGTCCTCCCAGGTGTCAAGGAAATGGAAATAAATATTTTTAACATTTCTTTCAGGTGTATCTCACTGAAAGCTTAAAATAGTGAAGGCATACTATTAGAGGATCCCCAGGCCTTTCTGTCCTTGAAATTAGAGTGACAAAAAAGCAATTTGCAAATTCATCTCATTAGTTAATGGTCAGATAGAAATAGTGAGAGAGTATGTCAACGGTGCATCCAATAGCATTCTTCATAGTTAGGGGTCTGTCAGCATTTCTACCATGAAGCCTTGGTGTTCAGGGTTCATAACTCAGTTGCTTTAAATAGCTTCAAGTTGAAACACTACGCAGAAATTTTAAGTCCACATATATATATTAAAACTAAAAGTATCGCAAGGCTATTGTGCTGTTTTAAGTTAGAAAACACTGCGATATATATTTACCAGGATCACATGTTTTTCTGGCAATGTTAACGAAAACACATTTTTAAATATATGACCTGTTACTCATAGTTAATTCTGTATGTTTAATGATAGCTTTCAGTATTTGTCATAAGTAGGGTTTCAAAATGATGGAGCAATTTCTATGTGAGAATAATTTTTTTTAACATAATTAGCCCATTTTCAGAAACAAGTAATGCAACTAACAAATATTGGACACTAGTGAGTTGTATTTCCTTACATATTTAATGGTCAGATTTTATGTTTGTGTCATTTTTAATGTAATTATATCTAAACAAAGAAAAACAGGTTATTAAACCTGATAAAATCTTTTAAAGCCTACTATGAATTGTTATGCAAAATTATGCAAATCAGTAGATTTCAAGTTGTGTTAAGACAGACACATTTTTGTGTTATGCCTTTAAATACAAAAAAATTATTTAAAGTAAAAATGTTAGGATTGAATATATAAAACTTATTGGTAAGGTAATTGAAATAAAAACTTATAGATGGAAAACATATATGTAAAAACTTATAGAAAAAAACTTACACTTGAAAACAGGCATAATAAGATATTTTTCATTAATTTTTCCTTTTGTCATTGCTATTTCTATCCTTTCAAAAAAAATTTCAGAATATCTAAACGAGCTTGAAACATGGCACATAAATTGCTGGCTTAAATTGAAAAACTTTCCATCAGTTTTCTCTCTGACATACATTTTAGAAATTATGAAATGTACTTTATATTGTATTTACTATTTTTCCTCTACAATTCAATTGGGTGTTCCTAAATTCTAGGTTAAACTTGAAAAATTAACTGTAATATTTGTGAAAGTTTTTGATAGTTTATTTAAAGGTATCTTTAAATAATTACCATAGGACTAACATTTTTTCGTATTACAATATCTTCCTTACCTGTCTTTTTATTCCCAAAAAAGATTTGATCAGATTTTATCTTGAAAAAGAATTATATTTCAGTTTTGCTACGAGTACAATGTGCCAAATGATATTGGTCTGTAAGAGTAATTGATTAGTTAAGACTAGCCTTCTGTTCATGGAAATGTAATGGGCAATTTTTATTTCCATATAATAAGACCACAAAAACAATTTTAAGGGTCTGAGTTAATTCTCCATTTCTTTTCTATCAGAGTAATACCCAGATTTAATCATAAGGAATCTCATACAAAATTTCAGTGGTGTTTCTAGAGTTAAATATTTTTTATTTTGTACAAGCTGCATATCGTGATTTAAATGCTAGTTATAGTGAGGTGCACTAAATAAAGGAACTTCTTTCTCAATTCTAAACTGTAAGTACATAAGATTACTTCTCTCTTTCCTATGAAGCTTCTTGACTTTATGGATTTTATGTTTTAAAAACATCTAGAAACGTAGTTGTTAAGGTTTCATCCCAAATTATTCTTTGCAGAACAGAACTTTTGTATTGGGTACTATGGAAACAAATTTTAATATGTACTTACTCCTAACCAGTTAAAAAGAGTGATTTTTGAGTGTTCTCTCTTTCTGTGCCTTAGAATATTTTCCATTGTTTGGATTTTGTACGGATGAAATGTGTAAAAATTTCTTTATTCTTTTGGTTTTCTTCTATTTTTTTATTGATCTTTTTTTAGAGAAACACCGATTTGTTATTCCACTTATTTATGCATTCATTGGTTGATGCTTTAATTTTTTAAAAAAAATTTTTATTTATTGATTTTAGAGAGAGAAACATCAATTTGTTGCTTCACCTATCCATGCATTCACTGGTTGCTTCTTGGTATGTGCCCTCACCAAGGATTAAACCCGCAACCTTGGAAGGTGTTTCTTCGGGACAGCTGTCTAACCCACTGAGATACGTGGCCAGGGCCATTGGTTGATTCTTGAATTTGCTCTGACCAGAGATGGAATCTGCAACCTTGGCCTGTACAGATGATGCTCTAACCAACTGAGCTTCCAACCAGGGTCTCTTTTGGTTTTCTTTTAGATAAACACAGTTGAGAATCTCCAAGGGAAACTTTTTAGCTTCAGAGATCTACTTAAAAAAAAAAATCTCAACCATATAATTATGTTTCTGATAGAAGGTTAAATAACAGTACTCCCTCTTCCCCTTTATTTCCCCTCAGAAAAACATTAGGCAATGTGATCTGGTAGAGTATAGAGCAGGGGAAAAAATATATTTAGCCATTAAAATAGAGTTCAGCCATAACAGGGAAAGTTGTCACTATATTGTTTTAGTTAGCTTTATTTTTGAAGGCCAAGTTCTAAGCCTTATAGAAGACTTACAATTTGTGATTGTCTATTTGTTTTGTTATTAAATGTAATACATAAGACATAACCAGTATTTAATATGGTCATTATTATGCTGCTTAAGCAAAGAAAAATGGATTTATGTATTTCACTCTTAGGGATTTTTTCTTTCATATTTTCCCATATTGAATCAATTTTCCTTTCTTCTAACTAAAAAAAAACCCATTATGTTAAAAATATGCAGTAAAATAATAGTGTCCCAGAGCTCTTGAAAATCTTCATATTGGGGCAGATTTCTTTACTTTCTTCTGAAATTTAGCCAGACTGGAGTGAAATCCATCAGCAGTCATCCTTTATCTTTCAACAACAAAAAACATCTCAGGATGTGAAATGAAGAATTACATATTCAATTGCATCCTTTAAGGATGCTCATAAATAAAAGCCTATATTTACCAAACAGCAGACTTGGAACAGAAGTGGGCCTCCTTGTCTTTAAAAGAGTACATCATAATTACACTCTATACTTATGTAGTATCTTCTACATTTTACAGACTTTAAAATAATTATTTCCAACTTATATTGGAAAATCGTGGTTCCTGGAGATGAAGTTACTTGTATGAGATCATAGGAGAGGTGGGAAAAAAATGGAGCCCGTGAGTTTTGATGCATTTATTCTCTTCTAAACAGTACAATTTTCCGCCTTCATTTATTCACTTTACTAGTTCCATATTTACTTTGACACACAAAGCCACAGAGCAGGTGTTAAAACACAATATGCTGAGTGTAAAGAATGTCAAACATTCAGATGAATCCTGGCAAACATAGTCAATTATTTCAGTATTTTCAAATGGTCACATTTTTGGCATTGTGAATTTGAAAACTTGAAAAGTGCATTGCCTCCATCAGTACAGCATTACCTATATAGTCAGCAGCCACTTGAGGCACTAGAGCAAGTATGCAGGGAGGAAGTCATATTCTCAAGGGATTTACCCTTGACCTGGGAATCTTCTCAGATTGAGTACAGTAACCAAATACTGTGAGTAAATGATAGTTGGCATGATTCCCTCTCCTCTGGGATGGAAAAAGTTGTCAGAAAACTAGTTTGGAGCAAGAGCATATTGCTTCTAGTGAGGGTTGCTGACTCAGCCTTTAACGGGTTCTCTCTCTCAAAGAGTTTTATCTGGTAGCCTCACAACTGCTGGCTGTGGGAGTTGATGTTCTTTTTGAAGCTCTTTCATTTATTTATTTCAAAGATATTTATCAAATACTTAGTCTGTACCAGGCACTTTTGTGGGAGTTCTATATACAGTGCTGAACGAGACAGATAAAGTCCCTTCCCTCTTGTAGTTTCCAGTCTGATATAATCTGGACTCCTAGGAGTGAGTCTCACAGTTTTGGGCGAGTATATCAAAAGTGGTAGATAAGTTATTAATATATGCACATTGAAACGGGGATCACCTGAGTATGGTGCTGTGGAAGTGGGCTCTGTAATTTAAGGAAAGCTTTAGGATTTTAAACTGAGTAACAAAGTGCTAAAGAAGGAATGGAATTGAAAACTAGACTAAGAAAATTAAGGGTGAAAATTATATTGACAAGTTCTTTTTCCTGGTTGGAGCAGAGGGGTGTAGTAGAGGAGTGTTGGGCTAGAGTTCATGGGTGGGGGAAATTAAGCCCTGAAGTACAGTTATCGTGTTTGTTTTATCACAGTCTGAGAAATCTGCTTTGATGAGTGCAGGTATAAATTGTATTGGGAGCATGAAATTCAATGCTTAGGTTTGCCTTGTGGAAATCTTGACAAAGGAAAGAACAGCACTAAAAGTAGAAGAAAGAGGAGTGGGATATTTGCCAGATAGGCAAGCACATATGGGTGTTAATGTCAGAGAGCAGTGGGATATTCTGTCTGGAGTCGTTGCTTAATCATCCTGAGGGCATCTGGGAGCTGAATGAGAAAGAGTTGGACATAACCCACCTGAATATATGATCCTGGAAGTTAGTTGAGAGGCATTATCAAGGGTCCAGGTCTTGGTAATGAATTAAGAATACTGTGTTTTATATGTGGCAGCAAAGGCTCTGCACCAGCCTTTTCTAACCAGGCTCTATGTTAATCAGAGGCAACCATTTGCAAGTTAGCTGATGCTGGTTAAAAAGAAAGTTTGATCCCTAGCCTTGGAGCAGTGAAAATGTTTATTAGCCTCAAAGACTGATTATTCTGGTCCTTACTTGACTGAGTTAATCTGCCAAAGGTTAACTGTTGAAGGTTAAGGAGGCAAATGTGTCATTCTAAGATGGCAGATGGGACAAAAACAGAATAAAAGTTTGCTAAGGGTATATTTTCTGTATATACCACTCATTTGTCAGTGATCGTTATCAGCCTATTGTATGTCTTTATTTTGCACCTAGACTTTAAGCTTCTTGCTGGTTTTGTTTATTCCACTGGGTCCTATTGCAGTGGACATTTAGTCATTATTTGCAGTATGATTAAAAGCTGAGTATCTAGCCCTAAGTAAGGAGATGAAATGTAGTCCTGGATACCACACCATGTCTATACTTCCATATAGTTAGTAATTCCAAGGTTTCACCTAAATGTCTTCTTTCATAAAGCCTACTAGACTTTCTTTTTTAGCCTGTGATTGGGAAGAGACCACACCTCAGGGTGCTCCAGGCTGCAGACAGGCAGTACCTTAATATGTACGATGCAATCTGCAGATGAAGCATCAGCCTTCCTTCTGTGGCGTAATTCCTATGGACAACCTAACATGGGGATTTAATAAAAAATGTACATGTATTTGGTAAAGAATGCAACAACAAATGAAGGAAACTTTTGCCTGCCTTTGAAATGGGTGGGCCCTGAAACATTGGTCTGTTTGAAGTGGCATCCTAAGCTATGTGCAGATGCTTCATTCCTGTCTACCATTACTGGACCAGAGCACTAAGTCCTGATAAGGAACAATATTTACAGTGAGAATATATTCTTAGTTTTTAAGCTTTTCTGATGAGCCATTATTGCTGCTGTGTTTCCTGTTTTATGTAGGTGGTAGCCCTCGGAGAGGTACCAGATGGGACTGTGGTTACTGTCATGGCGGGTAATGATGAAAATTATTCTGCTGAGCTCCGAAATGCCTCTGCTGTTATGAAAAACCAAGTAGCAAGGTTCAACGATCTGAGATTTGTGGGCCGGAGTGGACGAGGTAGGTCTCTGATTTTTAATATTGGTAATGGAATAAACACATTAGGGTCCTCTGATGACATGTAGGCTTGTTTGTATACAAATCAGCACCCTCTTCTTCTGAACAGAATTACTGAAGGTTTTATTTAAATATGTCCAGATGAAGCTGAGTGTTTTTCTGAATACTCAGGCCTTTTTCATTTGTTTTATGATATTGAATATTGAAACAATGTTTTCAGAACTCATTCCTACTTTCATTGGGTGTGAACATATAAGATGGAGAGAAGAACAGTTGGAGTCTCAAGTAATGAATTATGAGGAACCAAATAACTGAGTAAACTGAGTGGCAAAGAGGGAAGAAAAACAAATGCATTGGATCAATTTCCTGATAACAGTTTTGCTCTAAGTGGTAGCAAGTTCAACTAGCATAGTGCAGTTCACTTATCACATATGTTACCTCTGTATGAGTTAATTTGTTGTTATAATAAAAATATATTTAAAAATCATATAGGCTTTTTCTATTTTTTTTTTTTACAGAAGGCTTTTCATTTGAATAAGTGAATAATGTGTTATTTATGTTAGAATGACTAGATAGAGTTGCCTAGACAGGAATGATCAGGACTTGAAATATTTCCACATTATTTAAGGCTTTTCATCATCTGAATTCATATTCAAATATTAGGAACCCTTAAAAACATCATAAAATAGAAAGTAATCCCTTTTAGGGTTTTCATAACTATTTTATAAATGGGCTTAATGTTTTTAAAAAAGTCTTTAAGGAAACCAATTTTTGGGTTTATTTACTTATTCTATAGAGAGACTTGTAATAGTCATTCATTAGAAGTATTATGTTCATTTATTTATTTATTGAATCTAATATTTCTATTTTAAGCATTTCAATAATAAGACAGAAAATAGAGCACTTTAGCACTGAGGTGAAATAAAGACCTATGGAATTACTCCAACCCAGGTTTGAATTAGGAAATGAGAAGCATCAATTTTTAAACCATGTTCAGTAATTGCTCTTTAGTTTGGATCAGATGTCAAATTATTACCATTGTAAAAACTTGATAAGGGAAATTCAAGCAAGGCTGTTTCCGATGAGTAGTTTTAGTTTACTTTCTAGGAACAGGGCCAAGAAGTTGTACTTTTTAACTTAAAAAAAATGATGCATGCTAATGAGATACTGTCACTGAAAGGTTGTTTGAAATAAAATGAGGCTCAGGCCTCTGAAAGAATCAAAACTAAAGGGGTTATCTCTGCATCAGATTTGGTTTGCTTTCATTAAAAAAGAAAAAGACACATCCTCTCTCACTATTGACTGATTGATTAGGTGTGAAGCATGTTATGTGTGTGTATTCATTTTTTTTTTCAGTTACTGGTACAAATTCATAGCACAATTAAAATTTCTTTCTAGTAAGAATCAAGAAAAATTTGAACATGATGATTTACCTTTGTGCACTGAATTACATCATTCTTCCTATGTAACATTGCTTTGTTTTAAATTAGAGTAATGAATTTTAGTATTTAAAAGATTGGGCGCTATATTTTACTTTACGGATTCAAGCTAGTGTTTTCATTTATCTTGCTTTTTATATTATATAGATGCTGCATAACTTTTCTCTGATGAATTTGAGTAGAAACTATGGCAAAGTGATAGTGTACTTTGTAAACCCTCAACATATTTATTTAAGAAACTTCAAAGAGAAACAAAGGGTGTGCACTGTTTTACTATATTGGCTTTCTGAGTTTTGGCTGGTTTCCCAAATAGCAATTTTTATATTTAAAAAAAAAGACAGACTTAACTGCTTGCAGACTTTTCACGCATGGAAGATGAAGAAAGCTTCTTTTGATGAAGTGTAATTATGTCCAAACAGAGCTGACCCCCTCCCCCTATATTTCTTATGATCTTAACTGAAGAAAGTAGGATTTTTCCTTTGAAGCAGCCGGGACTTGGTGGAGGATCTGAAATGCTACAGTCTGCTGCCAGAGGCAGGATGGAGAAATTGGTCCAGACTTGTCTCCGAGACTTACATTGGGGGTGGGGGTAGCGGGTGGAGAGAGAAAGAAAAATTGATTTATCACTAATAATAGATTTTTATATCACTACATTAACATTATTTGAAAGGAAACAGTAATATCAAGCTGAAATGAAGAGTAAAAAAAGGACAGGGAACACTGATATTACTCTTGGAAAAAAATGGGTCAGTTTTTCAGTGGCAGGAAACCCTTTAACCTGCCTGTGTACCTGACCTGCTTTCAAACAGACTCTTTCTAGCTTCCTCTTTGATTTTCACACTTTTACATTTCTCTTAAGTTATTAAGTCTGGATCAACACACTGCTACCACTATTTTTTCCCCACCTATTTACATTTTCTATTTTCAGTAGCATTTAAAAAAATAACACCAATTCCTCTAATTATTACAGTTTTTCTTTTCACTGGTAGAAATATAAACTCTCAGAAATAGAAAAACAGTTTTGGGTTTATCAGAGTCACATCACTACTTACTTTGGCTGTATCCGTTATCTAATGTCCACAGCTTTTGGAAGTGCTTTCGAATAAATGTAGAGCATCATTGAAACTTGCATGAAGTTAGGAGTGGCTTATGTGTTTTAATTGTTTTTTCCTTTTTCAGCCTTTATATTTTAAACAGAAGAATTTAAAGTGACTTTGGTCCTTAAGTTTCCTTGGCGTGCTTCCTCTCTTTTGACATCCAGCACGCTGCGTTTAATTTACAGGCATTTTTAAGCACCTACGGTATAAAGAGCATGGGACATTGTCGATTTAGGATTCAGTTCCTTTGTACAGTTTTAGCCCTCCTGACTATTCTGACAGCCCCTCAGGTTAGGTTGGACTTGTCTTTTAATGGCAGTTCCTGTGTTTCTCTCAGAAAATACATTTGTCTTGAGGACACATGCATTACCAGTTCCTAGCTGAAGCTATGGATGATACAGTAACTTGACCATTGAGTGCTAGCTTCCTCACTGAGAGCCTGCATTTTTAAGTAGGAGCCTGAATTTTTATCATTTATGAAAAGTGATAAAAATGGGATTTGGAAAAAGTTTTGGGTTTTTTTTAGTTTAAGGAAATCATAAATACTCACATAAACATTTGACTTAGGAAATGTATTATTATTTATAAGGTGAAGAACCAATTACCTCGTTGGGTGGTAGTTTCTGGAACATTACACTCATGTTCCTTCTGAAGGGGCAATAACAAATGGAAAGAACCTTCTTGATTTTTGTTTTAGTTGTTAAAGTACATTTGATCCTTAAGGTTTGATTTTAGAAGACTCTAGTTATAATTAAATACTTATTTCTTTCCCCCCAAATTTACTTCTTTTTAAAAGAAGTTTTTCTTTATAGAAAACTGGTTCCACTTTGAACACTTAGATGCTTTATGCTTACCGGATGAATTCTACATTTGGCTTTTGTCCCTACATGAGGACAAAAGGTGATGAGGTGATGATCTGAATTTGGGATAAGCATCAATGACTTTTAATGTCTTAAGTAAGTTGCAAAAGTCTCAAGTAGAAATATTCTCAGAACCAGCCTGGATAAATTCATGGACAGTAGCTCTAGCAGGTTATTTACAGACATTAAAGATGATTGGAATATACACATCCTTGATTTATTAACATTAGCCATGGATGACAACTGCCTTCCAAGCACTGCCCTCTAAGCCACTGTGAGAAATGCAGTTCTGGCTCATCCACTATTGATCCAACCCAGAATGGCATCGTTTTATGGTTTCATGTACATTAGCTTTCAACCTAGGGATTCAGCCTGTTGACTCCTCCAGACAGATCTTTCCATTGTTTTGAGGTCCTGACCTAGATCCAGTGGCTTCCTATTCAACTTTCTAATCTCTTCTCCTGTGGACTTGAAGTTTTCTATAACTAGTTAAGGCTCCTGGCTGCCTTATTCTTCTAGTTAGCTTTAACGTATATAATAAATCCTGTTCTCTAATGAGATAATTAAACTACTTACATCCATGTAACATCCAGTATATAATGATGAACTATGATATATTAATGACACTTTTAAGAATAGATGATTTCAACATCCTGGCCAAGATACTATGTTAGTGGACTTCCATTTACTGTTTCTTGGTCTTATAGGACATATTGGGACACATGTAGAAATAAATTGCCTATTAATTTTTTAAAATGTTCTCTGGAAATCTTGAAAAGCGTTCATTTTAGGGTCTGGAAGAACTGGGTTCAGATCCTGATTTTTTCAACTTATTAGCTGTGTGGGTAAGTTACTAAGCCTCTCTGGGCTTCAGTTCCTTCATATGTGAAATGGAAGTGATAAACTTAACTGCATAGGATCAAATGAGATAATGTGTGTGGAGTGACTGGCACTTGATAGGTTTCTATTCAATATTCATCTTCCTTTTCCTTGCATTCCTGTGTTTTGTTTCCTTCTTTTTTCTTCTCTTGGGTACAGAAAAATATAGCCAAAGAGACTTAAAACTATATATACTGAGTAACAAATGATGTGTGTCTTAAGCATATTTTAGGAACTTACATGGTCTGGGTTGAAAAGAAAACCCATTCACTAGACTTGACAGTCAAAGACCTGTTCTACATTAAGCCTTGTATGTAACCTGTTCCATATTAAGCTTTGAAAAGATTGCATTAAACTTTGCATTGATACATATTGTTTAAGATTTGTGTTTGGATTTAATACCCTCAGCTTTCAGTAAAGGGAAAAACAGTCTCTGACCAAAAAACAAAGCAAAACAAAATGAGCTTTTTAAAAGCAGGCTAAATGAATACTGCGGCCTGAGATTGCTGAATGTTTTATTGAGTCACTGTTTCACGCCCACCTTTTCCTGTCTTGTAACAGTTTGCAGTTTTGACTATCTGACATGACTAACCGTTGCAAATCTAACTGATTACAACTGTCAGTGAGTCTGTGTAACAGAGGCTGGTATCTTCTTCTGGAGAAAGAAATCCTAATCTGCTACCAAGCTTTTCCCTGTCTCCCTCCTCAGCCCCCCCATTCATCACTTTTAGCTCATTAATTAGAAACATCAGATGTAGTATTTCCATGAAGCACACCCTCTGCTAAAAGCAAAAATTCATATTTACATTGGGAGATGTCCTGTACGTTTAGCAAAAAAATAAGTCATTGTCAGGGCGTTATTTCAAGATTTAACAGCAAGGAAGTATGTTAGGGAAGGGGTGGGCAGGGAGGAGAAAATCTTTGTTCCAGTAATGATGAAATCATCATACCACAGGCACATTAAGGCCAGGACAGGAGACACTGGCTCCTGTTAAAATGATTCCCATAAGAACCTTCCTCTTTCATCTTCTTATTGTAGTGCAGTTAAGCAAATGAAATGCTAAAGCCATGTGAAGTAAATAACATAATCAACAGTGATTTACTATTGTTCTCTCATGGGGTCATGACCTAATCCTAAATAAAGACTTCTAAAATTGTCTGTGTTTGGATGTGTTCCTGATGTTGGAGAAAACTGAAAGTCAGAGAACCCTCCTCAAGTGGACCAGGGTTTTTGTTTTCATTACAGCTACTGCTACTGAGCAGTTTTGTTTTGTTTTGTTTTGTTTTGTTTTTTGAGTTGGAGCCACCTTTTACAGTACTGCAGTGAAGGTGATGATCGTAACACTCAAAGACTTTAGTAACTTCCTAATGTGGCCATCAGAGGCGTTCTAATTTAGATTAAGGAGGCCTGACTGTTAATCTTGTCTTTGTTTCATTGCCTCGTCAGAGAAGTGTAAATGAAGTGTGGACATCTCTGCTATTGTATTGTTACCAATACTTTTTTTTTCCATACTTACTATGGGTTTTCCTTTTTTACATCTACAGGCAAGAGTTTCACCTTGACCATAACTGTCTTCACAAACCCTCCCCAAGTAGCCACCTATCACAGAGCTATTAAAGTTACAGTGGATGGACCCCGGGAACCCAGAAGTAAGTACTTGCCTTCCCATTGGAAATGGTAATAGAGTTTGCAGAGACCCTAGAAGGAATTTATCCTAAATAAGTTAATGCTATTTCATGTACATAGTTTCTTTGCAAAGTTTGCTACTTGCATATATTTTTAGTGAGGGACAGTTAGTACAACTTCACAGTTAGTAGAAAATAAAATTACACGTTTAACCTTTCCCACAAACTTGCTAAGGCCTACATAACTTTGGGACATGACTGAATAGTTATTCAGTCACTGCAACTATTTTCTAAGAAATTCTGCTCATTCAGTGTACACAGTAGACAGTGTAGAATAGACCCACAAGGACTGAGGAAGAAAACAATAAAATGAAAACTCTTGAGGTTAGTCAAAAAGCATTTGCATGTTTCCCATGGTCTAAGAATGTGTTTTAACTTTTTACCTCGCCCACTCAATTCCCTTTATAAAGAGCACACTGCTTAATTACAAAGAATTTATTTGCAAATGATAACTTGCTTGATTGTTACAACGCTGTTGTTTGGTCATGTTCTAGTAATTGTTATAGATAGTTTCTTTTAACATATAGAGTCAAACCCGGTTTAAATCCCCCTTGGTTTATTTGTCTGTCTGGACATCCAGAAGCTTTAACTAGCTTTAGTTTAATGAAGTGCACATAATCTGGGCTAATGTACATTTTCCTCCTAAATCTAAATTGATACAGGTTTGATTCCCCCTCCCCAAAAATGATTTGAACAGACTTGGCATAGCAGCATTTAAATGTACTTAGAGATTAAAGATTATTTGATATATACAACATTAAAAATTCTGTGCCAGTGGAAACATTACATAGAACTCTGCCTTTGATGAGTGAGTACATTGGAGACCTAGCCATTGTGTTTAGAGCTAAATTTGGTTTGTGGTGCGGATACAGCTGGCAGAAATATTTGTTATATAACGATACACCTGCCTAGACAGTGAGACTGGCATATCTTTTCTTCCATTAAAACTGAGAGAAAAGAGCTGGTAAAGTTTTGCCTCTGCCCAAGTGGCATGTCTTTTAGCAGTGGGAACATACGGTGCCTTCCGTTCCTCTTGCGGCTGTCTCTTTTCACGAGGGCTGACTGCTTGCCTGAACTAGGGAGGTTTCCTGCCTCAGAAGCCAGTCTTTGAGGTTTTTCTTTTCTCCTTTCATGTATATGGCGTTCGTCCAGGTTCACAATGTTGGGTCAGTGCTGGCCCTGCCTGTTCGGTTGAGAATGTCCTATTAGGCGGTAGCCATACCATGTCTCCGGTTGCACCAGTTCTCCGTTCAGAAGGGCCAGTGGTTATGCAGTGCTGGTGAAGAGAATAGAGCAGGGCTGTCTTGCCTGGTTTGGGGCTTTTCCTGGCTTTTCTGGATTGCCATAAATCAGGGATGCTGCCTTATGAGGGAAAGCATCTTCTAGCATTTTATCTAATTAGTCCTTGAGTTCCTGAAAAGGCAGGGACATTCATTTTGGTAATGCATAGAGCAGGAGAGTGGTCTTTTAACATTTAGTCCTACTAATACTTATCTTTTAAAGATGTTTCCTGCTGATCTCAGCTGCTTTTCTCAGTTCTTGGAAAAACCATTATTGTGTGTGTATGTGTCTGTGAATCTCTCTGTGTGGTTGTGTTCGTACACCCAAGAGTTGATGCTTAAAAGCTGGTGATTGGGAGAGGAAACAGGGAAGGGTGGGTACGACCCTGTTCGGAAAGATGTGACAAGAGGTAGCTTTGGGAAAGTCACTTCCCTTTCAGGCGAGGATAATATTACTTTGTTCCAAAGAGGATGTTGGCAGGGTTAATTAGCTGATAGGCCCAGTGCCCTGTAAAGGCAAAGAAGTGCAGTGAAAGCAGTGACTGCTGTGGGCAGCGGGGGCGGATAGTACAGGTGTGACCTGAGCACAAGCTGTGGCTGCTGCTAGGGTGTGAGGGTGCGAGGGGGAAGCAGATACAGATCTCGAGGGGCGGACCACTGCCCTAGGTCAGCCAGAGTTACATTTCTTGAGAACCAAAAATATCTATGAACAGGGAATGTCATTTCTCTGAGATCATGAGGTGATGACTTAGTGTCTGGATATTTGGATGGGTCTGGTGTCAGTAACATCTTCATCCTACAACCTGTGCTCTCTGTGTTGGATTATTTCCTTCTGCCCTGCTCTTGGCCATCCTGGACACTAAACGTTTGTAGTGTTGCATGCTTCTCAATATTGTGCTTTAATTTTGAGCCTCCTTGGTGTAGAAAATGCCCAGGATTTTCATTTTTTTTTCCAGCTGTGAATATAGTAGGATTTTGATTGATTGGTGTTATGTATATAATGCCTTCTAATGTGTATGATAAATCCTCTAGAACATGGTTTGGCAAACTTTTTCTATGAAGTTCCAGATAGTAAATAATCTCACCTCTGTGGCCTATATGATCTCTGACACAACTGCTCACCTCTGCCGTTGTAGCTTGAAAGCGGCTTTAGCCATTACGTAAATGAACAGTTGTGGCTGTTCAATGGTATCAAGTAAACTCGACTTACGAAACCAGGTGGTGGGTCAGGTTCGGCACACAGGTTGTTGTTTGCCAACTCTTGCTCTGTCTCAGTGATTTTAAACTGGTGTGTCCCAGGAATTTTTAACACATGCAACACCTGATTATTCAGTCAGGGGCACTGACCTCTTTTCCCTTAGACTGCCAAATAAAAACTGACTACAGCCAACACAACAACCGCCATCTGGCGTGAATAAATCAAAATTATGTCTATTTTTTTGGTCAGATCAGCAAAAAACATATAATACATATTTTTAGTGTGCTGCAGAATTTTAGTAATTAATTTCTGTCTGCCATGAGATGAAAAAGTCTGAAAATCACTGATCTAGAATTCGAAAGGGCTTTTTCTGTCCACTGTTAACAGAGAAGGGCTTTAGAAAAAGGCTTTCTTGAGGGGAGGAAAAAGAAAGATGGTTCATGCAATTGTTTTAGCCTCTTCTCCCACAAAATTATAATTCTTTCAGTAGTGATTGTTATAGAATTAATGTATGTCTGTTTATTACTGCAATGGTCTGAAGTTGAAGATTTTGTACTATTGATTCCTGTTAAGAAATTTCACTCCTTTCTCTGAATGTCAGAGTTTGTATTGAGAAGACTGCTTCTGGTAGACCAGGCCTTTTGAACAAGGACAAATTCTGGGCTAACTGGCTGGGTCTTTATTCAGCATAGCACAGTGATTAAGAGTGTGGGCTTTGGTGTCTGTCTGCATTTAAATCCCAATACCACTTACTAGTTGGTAGGCAAGTTGTCTAACTTCTCTTTGCCTCAGTTTGCTTATCTGTTAAAATGAGAATAATAGCATCTTCTTCATCAGTTGCTGCAAAGATGTTAAATGATGTAAGGTATGTAGAATGCATAGCTCAGTGACTGTCCTGTAGGAGGTACTCATTAAGTGTTAGCTTTTATTACAGCAATTTCCTTCAATGTCAGAAGTTTGTTGTAAGTTTTGCTTATAGTATGCTTCCAGGAAATAGATACCATCTAGATTCTGTTCTCTAGTGAATTATATTTTTCCTTGCAGATGGCTTTACTAATTTCTGCTCATTAGTAAATGACACTAATAAGTGTTATAAATTGTGTCTTGAGCAGGTATTCATGCTGCCTGGAGACAGCTGTGCAGAACTAATGATTAATACACTTTGTTTGCCGCAAAGTCCAAGAGAGGATGCTGTGGCCCCAGTGCCCCCTCCGAGGCCCTGCTTATCAACACATCTGCCAAAACTTGCTTTTCACTCAAAAATCAGAAAGGTTTTATCCTTCTATGTTTTCTGTCTCTGGCAGCTGAACCAGTGCTGTCACATCACAAACAACTTCTCTACTTAATATACACATCTGGCGTTGGCAGTTGGACTAACTTCATAAGAACACATGATCATCACTCATTACAAGATTAAAAAGTACCCCATGGCATCATTGATGTTTTTTAACTTTGATCTTTTTCAGTTGTGATTCATCTCAGTTATAAAACTTCCCTTTAAAGGAACATAGCCGATGACTTATTAGAACCTTCATCTTAAGTAGCGTAAACATGAAAACGGTGCACATCTTTACAAAATGCCATTTATTTTCTTTGCCAGCTTATCATTTTAAGACATGACATCATACTTAAGATCCCAAATTTGTAAGTCTTGTGTTTAGGCAGGGTGTTTTGACCTTCTGTTGGCAAGTTAGCTCTGAGGAGCAACTGCCTATGTTCTCCAGCCGGAGAAGTAGCAGCAGCAGCAACAGTAATGTATTTGGATACCTAACTCTTTTAAACATCAGTTTCTATTAGGTTCCTTTGTTCCATGTATGCGCTTGATTCCAACTGCAGTCTGACATAAAGAATTTCTACAGCAAAATGAAGCCTTGGTTAACAATGTTAGATTCTATGGTAGTGGCCCCAGGTTCGGGGAGAAGACTGACGGCAAAGGGTTAGTTGGATGCGCAGAGGATGGAAAAAGTAAGCCACTTTACATAGTTGGAACTCTTTTAATTCTCTTGCCATTTTTTCAGTTATCTATTGCTAAGTAACAAACCATCCCAAGACATAATGGCTTAAAACAACAACCAGTTTATTACTTCTCATGATTCTGTGGGTTGACTGGCGTTCATCTGATGGGTGTTCTGTGGTCTTGCTTGGGGTCTTTCATGTGGCTGCAGTAAGTTGGTGGCTGATGCTGGAACATTCATAATGGCTTCATTCATACGCCTGGTGCTTTGGTGGGGTGACTGCAAGGTTAGGCTTAGGCTTGAATGATGGCACAGCGGGGCCTTTCTCTTTTTCCGTGTAGTCCTCGAGCCTTTCCCTCTCCTCATGGCCTCTTCATGTGGTCCCTCCATGTGGTTTCTCCAGCAGCGTCTGACTTCCTACATGGCAGTTCTGGGCTCTGTCATGTGCAAAATTGGGAGCTTTCAGGCCTTCCTAAGCCTTCTTATGGCTCAGAACTGTCATGGAGTTACTTTCTTCATGTGCTGGTTAAA